TTGTTTGCTTAATGTCCTCCTTTTTTTTCTTTGGACCTTCCCACAGGCTAAAACACACAGAGGGAGCTGAGTAAGCTTTGACCGTAAAGAAAGGATAACATCCTATAGGATGGAGAAACAATATGAAAGGAATCTGGGTCTCTGGGTGAAACTGTAAAGCAGAGCTACTATCTGCCCTGTGAAGTAGAGCTACCACGTGTCCATCTGTTAGATAGAGAAATAAACTCGTCTTATTTGAACCACTGTATTTCTAAATCTGTCATATCATTTAGCCTAATTCTCTACTAATATGCTCCCTAAAGTTAAATGACCAAATATTATGGCTAGGTTCATATGAGTGTGTATGTGGAGTGTGTGTGTGTGTATATATGATTGTTCACATGCCTAATATATCCAACTCTAGAAATGTAAAACCTCACTATCCAGTTACAAATGGATAAAAATAAAATATAAGCAATAAGTGGCATAAAGATAGGTACTTTTGCCTTAAAAATGTGGAGTTATAAAAGCCAGTTGTGCAACTATAGTACCTATCCTTTTCCCTAAGCTGATTTTCCAGCTTTTCCAGTAGTTCTGGGAACTAATATGATTCCAATACATTCCTCTGTTTAAATCAGCCAGTCAATTACAGTTGCTTAAAACTAAGAATGCTGATTGATAGAGTGTACTGACAGGCTTTTAGGGAGTTCATGAACTCCTTGAACTGTATATGAAATATTTAACACACACAGTATTTTCTGGGGAGAGGTTCCATATCTTATGTCAAGGGGATCCATGATATGACTTGGGCATATGTGTAAGGGAAGACAATGTAATTAGTCCTTCCCAGATACAAGTACATTATAGCTGAACTTCTTTGCCATCTCTGGAAACAAAATATGGTAGAAATGTAGAAATTTTTAATTTCAAACTAAACCAGAAGAGACTGGTTCAAACAATGGATGTGGAGACAACATAAAGGAGGTCAAGAAAAAGCAGAAAATTAGCTGGGAAGGGAAGGTGAAACTGGTTAGAATGAATCACTAACTATTAGGTTAATCTAAGCTGAACTTGGTGATTAAATGAATAGACACAGGGAACTGCGTACTGGTATGTGAGCATGATCTCCATATTAATTGTTTGGGTTCAAAATGCAGCTATTTATAAGTGATCAAGGTCAATATCAACAGTGATAAGTCAAATTGGTAGTATATATCCTTGATATGATGTGATGAAAACGGCACTTTACCTTTGTGGTCTTCCTCCCCAAAACTTACAACCCCAGTCCAACTATGAGAAAAACATCAGACAAATCCTAATTAAAACATTCGAAAAAACATCTGACCAGTACTCTCAAAACCGTCAAGGTCACAAAAACCAAGGAAAGTCTGAGAAACTGTCACAGCCCAGAGGAGCCTAAGGAGATATGATGACTAAATGTAACATGGTATCCGGGATAGGATCCTGCAGCAGAAAGACATTAGCTAGAAATAAGGAAATCTGAATAAAGTATAGAATTTAGTTAATAATAATACATCAATATTGATTCATTAATAGTAACAGATACACTATACTAATATATTAGTAATAGGGGAGACTGGGTGTGGGGTGTATATGAACTCACTACCATATATATCATTGCAATTTTCCTATAAGTCTACAACTGTTCTAAAAATGTTCTAAAAATTCATTTTTTTAAATGCAGTTTTATTTTACTAACCTTGAGCAAGTTACTTAGCCTTTTTGTGCCTCATTGGTCTCTTCTGTAAAATTAGAATAACAGTAGCACTCTAACTCAGAAATCTGTTTAGCATATTAAATCTGTGAAGAGTTAATATGCTAAAGTGCTTAGAACAATGTTTCACCAACAGTAAGCACCCAGTTAGTATTAACTGTTTTATTGTACTGTATTATTTTTGAATATTTGTAAGTACAATAACATTTTATGCATATTGACTAAAAAAATAGTCTGACATAAAATATTAAACTTTATAAACAAAATTTGACATAATGAATTTCCCCCAATCAAAAATGTCAAAAATTACATAATTTCAAAGCTGGCAAATCAAGTGACGTATAAACTGTGGTCACACAGTGAGCCACTGTGTAAACCTTGCTGATCCTGGTAGAATTCACCCTGAATTAAGGTCTTAGTAACCTACCACTCATGTAAAAGGTGACAGACAGCTCTGTTACCTAGGGTCTAAAATTCCTCATGGTGTAAAAAACAAAGTTTGTATTTTAATACCAAAGTAATGACTTGGATAATTCCCACAGAGAAAAGGTAGCTAGGTTAGAGATCCAAAATCAAAGTTAAAAAAAGGGAAACTTTTAAATTACTTAGCTGTGTGACAGCAAAAATTACCAGAAGTCTAAGGCTCAAGCAGACATTTCTCCTAACTAAAATACAACTGATCAAAAAGTAACAATATATATGCCTCTTAACTTCTGCTTTAAATTTTCCAGATCTTACTTTAGGTGTTGTGATTCTGTATATGGAAAACTGTTCACTTGTCTTCCACTTTTTCTAATAACTGAAAAGTTCAGTCTAAGTTTTGAGATCTATATAAATCTCATTATTGCCTAAATAAGAAATTCTCCATATATCGTATGCATTTCCCCATTATGTGTTTAATATGTTAAGATATCAATCTATAGTATACCCAAGACGTTTACTATAGAGTTTATTATTTGCAAATGTTATATAAGAAAAAAATTATTCCCAAGTTATTTACAAAAATGTGATGAATGTCAGTGTAGCTTCTTTTGACATTAACAGTGATAGTTTTTGTTTACAGAAGCCAGGCAACCACCTAGAGAGACTGCTCACTTAATCAAAAAACTGGGGGCAAATAAATGAATCCATCCTTATGACAAAGATCAAAGATTCAGAGCTGGAGGGTTGAAAGAAGATGTGAGAATTAGGTACATTAATCTAGAAAAAAATGAAGGAGTAAAAACACACACAAATGACATTTCTAAAATCTAAATTTTTTTCCCTTTTTTGCAATGTTAAAATTTAAAAGCATCAAGAATATTAAATTGCTTTGACACATTTCTCCTTTTATACATTAAAATCAGAGACATTTTAATTACATTTTATTTTTGAAATAATATTTTAGAAATAGTTTGGTCTCTACATATGTGAACTGTACTTTCACTTATTATTTACTTTATTAATCTTCTTGATTAACATTTTAAAAAACAATTATATTATTTTAGATTTTTTAAATATTATTTTCTAATATTTATATTTCCTATAAATAAAAATATCAACTTTATAAAGTATGCACATAGCAATCTCTCAGTCAAAAAAAGGCAATCTTTTTCTTTCATAATGAATATCCCAAAAAGATATTTCAATATGGATACTAAAGAATAATTTTAGTAATCATTAGCTATGCAAACTACCTTTGTGGTAAGGAAATATAATAACCAATGTATGTATAACCTTTCCAAGATTATACATGTATATAAATTTTATACTCACATATGCATAATATCTCTAGGTAGTAGATAACATGTTAAACTTTTTATAATTTATGCTGGTAAATTAATGGTTTGTTTTGTCTAATATTGTTAAAATATTCTTAATACATTATATTGACTTTCAAATGGAAAGATGATTACTCTGGTTTCCCACAAAACTGATAAACCCTGAACCTTTTATTATATAAATTACTCTCCTATGGCAACAAGTCTGAAAGAAAATACAAAACAAGCCATATTAATTCAACTGATCTCCATGTTAAAATTATTAGTGGCTTCTATTCCCTATGATAATGCCAAGTCAAGAGCTAATTTTAAAAATTTGTAATTAAATACGCTAGTTACCTATGTAAAGATATTCCCTCCTCTCCATTACACAAATGATTATAGATGACTGGTCTATATTTATTATTATTCCAACACCACAATTCAGAATTCCATGTTCTGAAGGTTAGAAGAAGAGGTTGGTAAATATCCCCAAGTAAGATATATTTGAATATATAAATTCATTTTGTCTCCATCTCTTATAATGCCTATAATAACCAACATACAAATTACAAATGTTACCAAAACCTGCAAAAAAATTTTAAAAGAAAAAGAATCCATAATCGAACTAGACAAATGATAAGCTATTTGAAATATTTTGAAATACTTGAGTGTAGATGAATCAGAAAGATGACATTCATGCTCTAACTTGTTACATAATATGCTATAGTAGCTTAAACAGATTAACAAGAAAATCCATTTCGAAGATAAAGCCAGGTTCCAAGACTGAATATGGATTAAGTTATTATGAAATTATTCATGTTTTCATTATTTTCTCTCTTCAAACTCATTTGCCCTTCTCCTTGCCCCCTTTTTACCACTTGACCACATCTAACCCCTCCGTTCCCTTTAACTCTCCTGAAGG